CAAGCATATATCACAGGCCTGCTGGTTGGCTAGGCAGTCCTGTTTCAGGCTACAGTCATAGTGCATTGTGGAAATAAAGGTTCATGTAGGTTGGGCAACCTGGAGGCCTGGCTTCTGGTGGCTCTGGGGATGAGCTCAGATCTGAAGCACATGCTATAGTCCCAAGGGTTTCTTCCAGAAAGGCTGGCTTAAGCTGAAATGGATGCTGACAGTAGCCAGCTAGGGTTCTTCCATAGACTTAATGCTTTAAGGCGATTCACAGTGGTGAAGCCATCACCAGAGAGATGTTCCTCACTAGCACCTCTATAGCTCCCCTTATGTCTGCAGATTGCCTAGGTTCAAATCTTGACCCTGTTGTTACTTGTGTGACCTTAAGTAAGTTGCCTAACCTCTTTGTGCCTCATGGAAGTGGGTATAATAAAAATACCGATCTCACGGGATTTTTGTGACAATTAAGCCTTAGAACTGTGCCTGGTTCTTAGTAAATGCTTAATAAGCATTAGCTATTATTAGTAATGGTCTCACCATCTTAAAGGAAAAGACATTAATATATCAAAACCCTACTTATAGACCTGTCTTCCCCCTTTAAGATGGTAAGACTATTACCAACAACTTTCAGTGGCTTGTAACAACAAACATTTATTTCTTGCTCGCAGTTCTGTGGGTCCATGGGAAAAAGAGGAGCTCTTCAAATTGCCCGGCAGGTTCTGGTTGGCTCCATGTGTCTCTCATTCTGGGACCAGTGACTACTTGGAGTTTGCTCAAGGCAAGTCAGGAGTCCAAGAGTACTAGCCAAACCACCCCCAGGATGTGTAAGGCCTCTGGTTTGGTTTAACATATGTTGTCTGCTCACATTCTGTTGGCGAAAGCAAGCCAATAGCCAAACCCCAAATCAGTGGGAAGGGAAGCCAGAGCAGGGCAGAGAGGGAAGAGAGAATTAGGAATAAGTAATACCATCTACCACATCAGACAAGTCAATAATTACAATGAAGTGAGTGCTGGGTTTGGAAAGTACAGGGATTTTGAGATTACAGCAGTGGAGGCAGAGCACACGCCATCATCTAAAAGGGATCCACCCTGCACCTTCCTCTTTCCTGCTGCTCATTCATCCATTCCAGGGGATTCAGCAGCTACCCAGGTCTACACAAGCAGTGCCAACTCCACACCTTTATGGGTCTGCCTGCCTGTCATTGCTACTTGGCTACTGGGAAGTTTTAAGGGCCCTTCAAATCCTTCTCTCTTGCTGCCAAGTCTTCCCTCCTCATGTCACATCCTGGTACCAATAGCTACTCATTGCCCAAGTCAGAAACCTGGGCATCCCTTCTCCCTCCCCATCCCTGGCCACAACTAATCAACATCAAGCGTGGGAATACAGCTTCCTTGGTATCTCCTGAACCCTGCCCCCACTGCCATGTACCTGTGTCAGGTCATCCCAATCCCTCCCGATGACCACCCCGTCCTGCAACCAACCCCCATCTGGCCGCCACACATTTTGAGATCTCTTCACATTTTGTGATCTCTTCAAAATGTAGATTTAGTCCTATATGCACCAAACCCTTCCAGGATACATTTCTTGGCATGGCCCCAGCTTACCTCCTCATGACATGGCCTGTTAATCCTCTCTTCTTCTCTTGGGTTCCGTGTGTAGCCAGGCTAGGCTCCAGTCCCAAACACACTCCTCTTTCCCCGTACCTCTGTCTGTAACACCCTCAACCCCCTTCTCTGGTTAGTTCAGCTCCTGGCTGGGTCACCCCTTCCTCCAGGAGGCCTGTCTTGACACCAGCCTCTGAGGATCAGTCACATGGCCCTCTCTTTGCTCTCACAGCACCCACACTTTCCCCATCACCCCCTCCCTGCCCCTGTGCTATGTTCTATTGAGATTTCAAGCCTCTGCAGGATAGGAATTGGATAATTCATGACCGTGTCCACAGTGTCTGTCAAGGGCAAGAGAGCCACACTGAACCCCAGTTGTTCTCCTAAAAGTGGAGACAATAATGTTTTAGTTGTGTTGTGAGGATGAAATGAACTAATGCATGGAAGATGCCTGCCCCGTGGAAACACGTAATGAATATATTAATAGTAAATGGTAGCTCTTACTATTTATGATGTTGACAGCATTAAATCTAAGCAAACATTTTATTGAAGTATGAAATACGTTCCGAAAAATGCGCAAACTCACAAATGTCACAGTCAGTGAACTGTCACAAATGAACACACCCTTGTGACTGGACCCTGGATACCATTATTTTTAAGCTCAAATGTCAGCTTCTCAGAGAGGCCCTGCCTGACTTCCTCTCCCATCTCCTAATTCTATGTCGTGTATATTATCTCTTTCCCCTCACTCCCATGTGAACTTCAGGAGAGCAAGATTTTTTTTTTTTTTTTTGGTCTATTTTGTTCAGTTCTGTATCCCCTGCTTCCTAGAATAGTTCTGGACACATAGTAGCTGCACAATAAAAATTTACCAAGAAATGAGTGAGCGATTATTATTTTCATTTCTTTAAGCTCCCAGGCGCTGCAGCACGGTCATGGCCGAGCACTCACGTCCTCCCAGGTGAAGCAGCGCTGGGCCTGGACCAGCCGCACCTGGCCCGGCTCTGAGCTGTGCTGGGCTGGGTCCGGGCTTCCTGCCGCCCACGGCTCCGGGTTCTTCCGCCTCACTCCTGGCCCGTGAGCCTGGCTCACCTCACCCTACCCACGTTCACTCTGCGTGCAAAAATTAAAATAATAATAACAGCAACAATAATAATCTCATCCGCCCTGGAGACCACCAGTGCCCCCGTGGCATCCCTCAACGACTCTCTCGCGAGGTCCGAAACACTCCGGGCGGTGGCAGCCGCCCACCCTGGGGACGCGCTCCTGGCCGCGGGAAAGCCCCCGGCCAGGCTCCATCTACGCACAGTCAGACCCTCCCGCCGTCTGAAGGAGGCTTTTACTCTTCAGCCTAGTCCAGTGGCAGAGAAGCTAAGGCTGCAAGAGGCGAACGCGGACAGTCAGATCTGACTTCGAATTCCGCGGTCATTGCTGCCAGGCATACCACGAGGACGCGCGGTGACCACCACCATGGCCTTCGGCTGCCAAAGGTTTCCATCGACCTCTTTCCCATCACCAGCATCGCAGCGGGAAAGAATGTGCCTGGCGCCGTTCTGGGCACTGGGCATGAGGTGGTGAACAAAGTCCTCCAGAAATAAACCGGATAATGAGCCGGGCAGCGGCCGGGGCAAGAAGGGACCTTCGCAGAGAGTGATCAAGCACAGCCCCTCCGAGGAGGCGACGTTCAGCTGAGACCAGGGTGACGCAAAGGTGTCGGCTGGTTAGGCACCTGTGAGGAAGGAGGAGCCGGCAGAATGCCAAGTAGAGGGAACAGCAAATGCCCGGCTCCTTGTATAACCACTGCCTCAGTTATCTTCCTCCAAACCTTGAGAGGGGGCAACTTTGCTACATTTCACAGACGAGGAAGCTGAGGCCCAGAGTGTGAAGGAATTTACAGAGCTGGGATTCGAACCCCGCGCTACCGTCAGTCCATCCCGGGCTCTGTCCAGCCGGTACCGCGCGCCGCCCCCTTCCTCCCGCACCGTGACCTTAACTCGGCACGTGCTGGCCCCTCGGGCCCCCCAGCCCCCGTACATTGTCTCACTCAGCTCTGATTGTGGGGAGGGGGACGGACCGGGGGGCGGGGGACGTCTTTCCGAAGGATGGCTGGAAGCAGCGCGCAGCCAGGGGCCGGGGGTTAGAGACCCCCACCCCCGCTCGACGTTAGGGACTCCGCGCTTCCCCGCCCCCGCCGCGGCCGGCCGGCGCTGCCTCTGTCCATGGTCAAAGCACCCGGGGTAATCCGCCTTTCTCTTCCGCCCGCCGGGCCCCATTCATATTCTAATCACAGCGCGGCCGGCCCGCGAACGGCCACTTTATCGGGGCCCGCAGGAGACGCAGCTTGCTCCCCCCGACTTCCACTTCCAGCACCCCCCCGGCCCTTGCCCCCCCTCTTTCTGCACTTTCAACTCCGCCGAGGAGGGGGTCCCTGGGAAAACCGCGTCCCCACTTGGACGCCGGGGCTTCTCACAAACTTCGAGGCCGACTGGGGGACGGCGGTGGGGTAGGGAGGGCAGGGGGAGGGCGGAGGAACAGAGACAGACAGACTGACAGAGTTACGGGAAGAGGCGCGGGGGAGGGGGAGGACGGTACAGAGAGACCGAGGGGGATAGAGACAGAGAGGGGCAGAGTCCTAGGGGGAGACAAAGAGAAGTGGAGGCAGGGTCTGGACAGAGACACTTGCAGCCAAGGAAGGAGAAATAGAGGGACAGAGACAGAGGCACAGAGGACGAGAGGGACAGAGAGCTAGAGACAGACAACGGGAGACAGGCGGAGAGAGCGAGATGGAAGGAGAGAAACCGGATGAAGGACCCAGGCCCAGAGGAAGACAGAAAGTTCTGGAGGTGGCGAACCAGCCACTCACCCCCTACCCGCCTAGCGGCCTTCTCACGCTCAGATTGGGGGATGGGATCTTAGGGTTTCAGTTCCCCTTCCCCGCCCTTTCCCCCTCAAGCTCGCCTCACTCCCCCACGCGTGTCTGTGGATCCGCGTGTAAGGGGTCAAGACATATCCCCACCCGCATTCCCAGGGCCACCACCAGAAATCTAACCCAGGACCAAAATGGGGGGTGGGGGCACAAGAGAAGGAAGGGAGTGGGGCCCCACTCGTGGTAGCGCAGGCGACTCCCCAGGCTCCAGGAGTTCCCCGCGGCTCCCCACCCCCCGCTCCCCTCCCCGCCTGCCTGCGCTACGCGGGGCCCGATGGCGGGGAAGGGCCGGGAGGGGGAGGGGGCCACATCTAAGCCAATTTTGATTTCGCCTATAATGAGTGCCGGGCGAAGGCTGGAGAAGGCCTCTGGAACTTTAAATAAGAAAAACGTTGCTAATGCTATAATAGAAGGGGGAAGTCGGAGGGCTGGGATTGCGTCGCTCTGAGCCCCCCTTTTCGGAGGCGGCTTTTCTTATTCAAAACAGGCCCACAATGGGCTTCACAGTGCGCCTCGCCACGGCCCCATCTGACGAGCGGCCATTCATCAGGCCGGCTGGCCTATCAATGACATTGCTCCCATCGGGGCTCCTATAAAATGATGCTTTTTCCCATGAAACATCCGCAAACATTTTGACGGGTTTGGCTTTGCCCGGCTGGATTACTGAGTGTCCCCTCGCTCGCTCGCTTTTTCTCTCTCCCCCTTCACCGAGCTCGCTCCCTTCTCACCCTCTCTCTCCTCTTTTCTTCTTTCTCTTTTCTTTCCTCTTCTTTTTCTTTTCTTTTCCTTTCCTTCTTTATCCTTGTGCCCCCTCACACTCTGCGTCTCTCTCTCCCCTTCTCCCTCCCTCACTCCCTTCCTCCCTGGGCATCTCTAGCACAGGGGATCCCCAAACATCAGGACTTTTGGGGGGCGCCTGTGCTGTCCATGGGAAGAGCATGCATTGTGGGTTACTGGAGGAACCCGACATGGATTCCACAGGTTAGTGCTACTGATGGGGGGTTGGGGGGATACATTGGGAGGGAAGGAGAAGGGAGAGGGGGAACTTTAGAAAGAAGTTGGGAAAAGTTCAGACGGGTCAACTTGACAGTGGAACCCCAAGGAATAACGGAGAGCTTGCAGAAGTTTTCAATTGGAGGCGATGTGTGTAAGTGGATGAGTGGAAGTATGTGTATAAGCGTGTGATTGTGTACGTGTGTGTGTTCGTGCGCGCGCGCGCGAAGGAGCGCGCTTTCGCTTGCCCTGGACACAAAGTTACGTAAAGATGCGCTGGCTCGCGGCGAGCTCGAGGTGCCACTTGCAGAAACTTTGCCAGCCGACCGCCCCCTCCCGGGCCCGGTCCTCCTCCGGTATGGGGGCCTCGGAATAGCGGTGCGCTCGGGTTCTGGCGGCCAGGGCCGGGAAGCCGAGCGGAACGCCCCGAGGCAGGGGAGGGTGACTGCTTCGCACTGCGCCTGGGAGGTGGGGACCGAAGCTCCGGCTGGTAGAGACGCGCAGCTGGAGGGAGTGGCGGCGGCGAACCCGGTGGTCCTGGGGAATCCACAGAAACGGGAGGTGGGAGTCCTGGGCTGTGGGGGCGGGCTTTTAGCTTTTCTGCCAGGAAGGGGCACCCAACGCCGGGCTCCACTCGGGGGCTGTGACCTTGCTGGAGGGAGGGCAGGACGCAGAATAGCTCGCTAAACTCGGCGTTGGGGTCTGCAAACTGCTCTGCAGTTCAAGAGTTGCTGGGCGTCAGGTTTTGGGGGCGCCGCGGTCCTTAACAACGAAAAAGGGATGCCAAGGAATATTTCACAACAAAAATGCCCGGTATCTCGGTTCTTCCTCCAGTAGTTTTCGCCACCTCCCACTCCTAGCACCTTTGAAGAACCGTCACACTTCTAGATCTGTTACGCTTCCTAAGTCCCATGCAGGTGGAAGTTCTCTTACAGTTCACCCACCCCCCCCAGGCTCATTCTTGCAACCAAGCTATTCTCATTTTGGCCCCGCTGCAGCCTCAGGGTTTCTTGGGGTGATGAGGTCAGGGAGAAGCAGAAATAGGGCAGTGGACGCAGCCTGGGCCGTGGCGAGGTTTGAGAGAATGCCTGCACGCATACGCTGCTGGGCATTGCAGCGCGGAGCAACAAGTGCCTTCCAGCCCCGGCCGTCCCCTAAGCATGCACGTCCCTTCCTTGAGCAAATAAATGCCGCACGAATGTCTCCCCAACTCCACCCCTAGGCAGGCTGGATATGGAAGTGGGGTGGAGGCTGGGATCATGGGGCATTGCCCCAGAAGGTCTTTCCTCAGTCCCTGCAGAAATATTTAAGCCCTCTCCAGGTTTCCGCTGCAGCCCCGGTGGCCCGGACACCGGGCTGCTCTTGCCAGGGGGGATATTCGGTGTTTTAGGGTAGTTGTCGATCTCTGATTCCTAGAGTCAAGGCCCTCCCTGATTGCTCTCCTCTGGGTGGGTGTGAGCCCCCAGGGAGTGGGGAAAGGCTAAGCCCCGAAGTTCTCCTTCCTATACCCGATGACAAACGAAGGCAAGGAGAAGAGTCGCCTGCCCGCGTGCGCCTCCGGACACAGCGGGCCCCGCTGAGGTCTCTGCTGGCGGTAAAGCGGGAGCCCAGAGAAGGAAAAGCGCCTTTTCCACCATTTTTTCATCTCAAGCGCTGCGCCTTCACCACCTCCTGAGAACCCTAACATTAAAAATGCATATCCTTAACAAAATTAAACTCATGTCTGCAGAGTTTGTGGCCAAGTATTTTCGAGCGCCCCACGCAGGGACATAGGGTCTGCCTACATCGCAAACCTGCAGAGTGGCCCAGCTGGGGTTTTTAGCTGCCTCCTCCACCTGACCAGGGCCCCTCGGTACTTCTGGGGAGGACTGTGGGGCTGTGGATACGTGGTGTTTTCTGTTCTGGATGCAACTGGTGGTCGTGGGAGCACCGGGTCCTCTTCACCTCAACTGCAAACACTCCAAAGAGGTTCTGAAACAGAAATCCTTTCCCCATCCACCTCTCCCCCTTTTGTATACCCGAGACATCCCTAGGTCACCACCCTGAACGCAAAATCAAAAGTTTTGGTACACGACAGTGTGAAGAAATGACAAGAGGCGCACCAGGTGACATTTCACTCGGACTTGCAAAACCGACGACGACAAGGGAAGTGCGGCTCGGCGCGGTCCAGTCCAGAAGCCTTCCCTCACCTCCCTTCCAGAGAATTTAATCCAATTAGCTTTTCTTCTGAGTTTCCCTTGTTATGTAAAGGTCCTTTCTCCTTGGCTTGCAGAGACGGGCGCTCCACGGAGCAGTTCAATTCTGCTCCTTTTGTATAAGATCGCGCGCGATCAGAACCAGGATATTGCTGTTATTATTTCATTCCGAAAGGACTGGAACAACCGACTCACAGCAAGTGCTGGGGCGAAGTAGGAAACGTCCAGGATAAGAGAGGCGGGCGAGCTGGGCCACTGTCCCTTGCTCTTAAAAGGAAAATCCCCGCGAAGTGCCTCGGGCCCGGGAGAACAGTTTTGCAGGGGCCAGAGCTCTAGTGGCCTGCTTTGGGGCCACTTCAGCATGACCTGCGGAAACGCGCCCCTTTGTTTCGCACACCGAGCCAGTAATATATTCCTCGAGTTTCCCCAAAATACTCGACAAGTGTGGAGCTAAGACAATGGCCCCGTCGGGGGAAGCTGGACAGCCGGCGCGCGCCTCCTGGGCCCTAGGCTCTCTCGAGGCCGAGCCGGACAAGGCAAAGCCCCAGGCTGCGGTGCGCCGCGGTGCTCCTGCAGGAGGCAAAGGCGACAGGCGCGCGCAGGGGCAGTCGAAGCACCTTCTGGCCGGTGCGCGGTTTGCAGTAAGCGCAGGCGCGCGTTCTGCTCGGCCCACGCTACAGCCCCACGCCGCGCAAAAGTGGGTGCTGAGCCCCGCGTGGCCTGCCCTCCCCACGCGGGCCACCGGCAGCTGTGTGTTTGTGTCCGCCGGGTCCAATCTGGGCTTCTCTGCCCGGGAGATCGTTGCTCAGTTACTCAAGTTATCCGGAAATTCCAGAACGATGGGGGAAAGTGGGTAGAATTTTAGACCACCGAGAACTTGTGCAAAGTGGGCCGGGCCGGCTCGGTCGCCTACGCAACAGACGGATCATTTCTTTTAAAACGGGATGGCGCGTTAGAGAGGGCCACTGCCAAGCTGGAGCTGGAAACTTCTGCCTCCATCCACTTTCCGCTTCCATCTCCAGAACCCAGAGCTGAGGCGGCCAAAGTACTCCTGGAGCCGGATTTGAGTTCCCCGGGTCGCATCAGTAGGAGGGCACGCTAGTCTACAGGCCCCCAGCTCAGCACAAATTCTGTCTAAAATTCTACCACCAAATTAATTATATGCCTTTGTGGGCCCGGTGTAGGGATGTCCAGTGGCCTTGGCGCCATGCCCACAAGGCAAAGTGCGTCCTGGAGGGAACAGAGCCCGAGTCTCCTCCATTCTTGCCCAGGCACAGCCCTGGGGAAGGAGCCACTGTCTGCGGGCTTGGGAAAGCAAGGAGCCGGAGGTCCGAGCCTTGCTCCGGTGCCCAAACCAGGCAGTCTCGCCCTCCCTGGGCGTGTGTGTGTGCATGCGCGCGGGCGAACGGGGCATGTGCGCCCCCAATTCTGCCACCTGCTAAGCGCGGGCGTCTGGATTTGTCAGCGGGGTCAAGTGAGAGCCACACGGTACCAGGGTTCCGGGTCCCCGAGGCTGCAACCCTTGATGGCGCAGACGCTGCACGCAGGCTGGGCCCTCGGAGTCCCGGATTCAGCACGCGACTCCGTGCGGCAGCCTGGGACAGCGCTCTTTCCTACCCGGCCTGCAGGTCCCAGAGACTCGGAAAAGTTTGCAGGGGCCGCCCAGTGCCTCGGGCCTGGGATTTCCAAAGCCGCGCCCGCCCTCCTCCCCAGCGCGTCACCATGGAGACTGCTGGAAGTTTGTGGTAGAAAACAGACCTGGCGCAAAGCAAAATATTATGAGTGCAGTTGGGGTGACTTCAGGGGGGCCGGGGGACCGGAGGGCAGGAGCGGGAGCCAGAGGCAGAGGCTGACAACAAAGGGCCCAGTGCGAGGAAGAGAGAGGAGTTTGCACGGGCCCTCCCCGCCGCTGTGTGAGTGCTGGACCATCCTGCTTCCCAGAGGCGCCGAGGTCTAATTTCTCTCCAGCAGCTATACCTTTTCTCAGCCCGCCTTGGAGCCCTTGCTCCCTCCCTTCCTCTCCGGATTCTCTTCCAGCCTCCCCCCTCACCCGTCCCGAGGTTAGGCGCCAGCTGGGCAGTGCGCCCGCCTCCCTAAGAGCCACAGGCTCACCAACGTGAAAGGTTCTGGCTTTTCTTCCCCACGACCCGTGGGTCGCCCAGGGTGAGTTTCTCACCCCCTATCTCAAACCCGATCTGAAAGGGTGATGGGTTAGAATAAGGCGGGAACAGAACGAGAAGAGAAGGGAGTGTCTGGCCAGAAATCTTGGGAGTGGGAATGGGTAAAGAGGAGATTCTGATTCCCACCCCCCACCCCCACCCCCACTTTTTACAGTAAGAAAGGCGCTAGGTCGTGATTCCAACTCAGCCACTTGTAATGTGACTTTAGGTTAATCTTCTAGCCTTTCCAAGATTATTTTTAATTGCCTGTAAAATGAAGGGTTAGACAGCTCACAGGCTGGGATTCTCTGACAACGTAGACATTTCCCTCTATTCCTTTGACTTTACTGTAGAATCCAGGAAGCAATATATGGGCTGGTTACCACTATCTGAACTATGACCCACTGCACAATTAGTTAATTTCTCCTCGAACTAATAATACACTATTTTTTGCAAGTCATTTAGGATTTTAAGAGTCAAGAACCATGAACAACTCTTTTAAAAAGGCCCAGATGTCCTTTCTCATTGCCCACCTGCAGTGCATTTCTTAATTGTTTGGCCAACTCCCTCCATCCCCAAAGGATTTACTAAAAGACACTAGACTTTATGGGGCTGTATCCAGTGCCAATTTAGG